GCATTCTGTTATGATGTATTAAGGATCGGAACAATTAAGGGAAATGCTTGCTTGGTCTAGCTAGTGCATTAATAATATGTATCTTTCTACTAATCTCATTTTATGAAGTCCCACTGATTTGGTTCAGACCAGTATCAAATACTGGTAGTCCTCAATTTAGGACAGTTTTTCACACTTAAACGACCTTTGCAGCATCCCCTTGGTCATGTGATCAAAATTCAGATGCTTGGGAACTGTCTCATATTTATGACGGCTGCAGTGACCCAAGGTCATGTGATCCCGTTTTGAGACCTTACAAACTAAGTCAGTGAGGAAGCTTGATTCAGTTAACAACTGTGTTACTAATTTAACAATTGCAGTTATTCGCTTGACCGTGGCAAGAAAGATCATAAAAAGGGGCAAAATTCACTTAACAAATGTTTCAGTTAGCAATATGTGATCGTAAGTTGAGGATTACCTGTAGGCGCTATTGTTGAATTTCAGAAGTGTGAAACAATAGTATCGGCATTTTAAAAAATTCTTTTAATGATCCAGAATAGAGTCTGATTGTCCAAATGTCTGAAATAGATGGAGAAAGTGATAGGAGTGGCGTTTGGTTTCTCTCTTTTTCCTCGGTCTCTTGATTTCAATGGATGAAGAAAGCACAGGCCACTGGCAGGGACCTGGACTAGTGTTGTATCTGTAGCTCCCTCCCTCAGGAACACTAATTCTTCAAGGATTGTTCCAAATAATAAAGGAGAGAGGTCTGAATCCGATCCACATCAGCCTGGAAAAAGTAAGTTCAGGGCACAGCCATATCTCCTGCAGAGTCAAACTGGAGAAGGAAGGAAGAATAGATCCTGCTGTGTCAGTGCGAAATAAATCTCAAAAAGGTTTAGCTTAAGTATAAGGCCCACTCCTTTCAAATTCAACCAATCTGATTGTTTCGGAGTTCCTAGAAATCACGGGCAGCTGCATGACCCTCATAAGTGTCTCGGAAGTAAATCACATTTCACAATTTTGTCCGCAAAATTCTCGGGTTTTGATTTGCAATCCACTTCTCTGCTTTGCGGCCTTGCCAGAACAATTCCGGGTCTTCGCTCTGGAGCAGAAGAGGCACTGGGTCCTCGAACAGCTACTGGCTTCCCTCTTTGACCCACTAAGGCATCAGTGGGTGATTTCGTGGTTTGTTATTTTTATAATATCAAAATAATTCTGAGCTGCTGTGCTTTTGCTTTGAATTGTCTTTAACAAATCTTTATAGCTGCCCTTCTTGCGTCTGTTTCTTCAAGGCAAACGAATGCGCGTGCAGTTGTCCACCAGCCGTCTCAGGACCACGCCCGGGATGGGATACAAGAGCGGCTGCTACCGGTGTGGGAAGGAGGGTCACTGGTCTAAAGAGTGCCCGGTAGACCGCACGGGGCAAGCGGCTGAGTTGACCGAACCTTATAGCGAGCAATACGGAATGGTGCGCACCCCGTACCCTACAGGCTACGGGGAGTCCATGTATTACGATGACCCCTATGGAATGGTGGATTACTATAAACGGTATCGCGCGAGAAATGCTGCGGCCTATGGGGCCTCTGCATACGACACTTATGCGGAGCACACCATGGCCCATTATTCCCAGTCCGCCCAGTCCTCGCAAGCCACAGCCATGGCCAGTCGCCTCTCTACCTCCTTAGACCCCTACGAGAGGCCCCTGATGCCAAGCTCGGGATCTGCCGCGGTAGCCGTCGCTGCTGTGGCCGCGACATCCTCCTTTTACACCCGGGATAGAAGCCCTCTGCGTCGCTCGGCCGCTGCGGCTTCCACCGCTG